GGAGGAGCGCCAGCTCCCGTCCGGGTGACATCCGGGGTGCCCTGACCCCGCTCCGGCACAGCGGACCCCCAGCTCACAGGTGGGGGGTTCTGTAAAGGCTTTAGCGGTGCACGTGTGAGCCCCTGGGGGCACCGCTGCTCGGGGTGCCGGGTGCTCTGCACCCCATGCCGGGGTGCCGGTCAGGCCAGCAGTGACCCCAGTCCTGCCAGGTCACAGCGGCCTGGGGCACAGCGCAGGCAGGGGTCTGGGCAGGTGGGTGCCCGTATGCCAGCTGGGTGCCTCCATCGCAGGGGTGCTCCAACTCCAGGGGTGCCCAAACCTCACGTAAGTGCCCCGATGCCAGACAGGTGCCCCCAACCCAGGTGGGTGCCCTAAACACTGCTGGGGTGCTCCCAGCCCGGGGGTGCTCCGACCCCAGGGGTGCCCCCGAGCCGGACGGTGCCTCCTCTAACTCCAGGTGGGTGCCCCTGCCTCCGGCGAGTGTCCCCAACCCAGGGGTGCATCCACCTTAGACGGGTGCCTCTGCCTCAGGGATACCCCAATCTTAGCGGGGCCGCACACCAGGATGCCCCGTACCGGGGTGCCCCCACCTCAGGGGTGCCCCATACCGGGGTGCCCCCACCTCAGGGGTACCTTCACATCAGAGGTGCTCCATATCAGGGTGCCCCGTACTGAGGGTGACACATACTGGGGTACCTCTACCTCAGGGGTGCTCCCACCTCAGAGGTGCACCATACTGGGGTACCCCCACCTCAGGGGTACCCCATACCAGGGTACCCCACCTCAGGCGTACCTCCACCTCAGGGTGCTCCACCTCAAGGGTGCCCCCAACTCCGGGGTACCTTCACGCCAGGGGTATCCCCACCTCAGGGGTACCTCCACCTCAGGGTGCTCCACCTCAAGGGTGCCCCCAACTCCGGGGTACCTTCACGCCAGGGGTATCCCCACCTCAGGGGTACCTCCACCTCAGGGTGCTCCACCTCAAGGGTGCCCCCAACTCCGGGGTACCTTCACGCCAGGGGTATCCCCACCTCAGGGGTACCTCCACCTCAGGGTGCTCCACCTCAAGGGTGCCCCCAACTCCGGGGTACCTTCACGCCAGGGGTATCCCCACCTCAGGGGTACCTCCACCTCAGGGTGCTCCACCTCAAGGGTGCCCCCAACTCCGGGGTACCTTCACGCCAGGGGTATCCCCACCTCAGGGGTACCTCCACCTCAGGGTGCTCCACCTCAAGGGTGCCCCCAACTCCGGGGTACCTTCACGCCAGGGGTATCCCCACCTCAGGGGTACCTCCACCTCAGGGTGCTCCACCTCAAGGGTGCCCCCAACTCCGGGGTACCTTCACGCCAGGGGTATCCCCACCTCAGGGGTACCTCCACCTCAGGGTGCTCCACCTCAAGGGTGCCCCCAACTCCGGGGTACCTTCACGCCAGGGGTATCCCCACCTCAGGGGTACCTCCACCTCAGGGTGCTCCACCTCAAGGGTGCCCCCAACTCCGGGGTACCTTCACGCCAGGGGTATCCCCACCTCAGGGGTACCTCCACCTCAGGGTGCTCCACCTCAAGGGTGCCCCCAACTCCGGGGTACCTTCACGCCAGGGGTATCCCCACCTCAGGGGTACCTCCACCTCAGGGTGCTCCACCTCAAGGGTGCCCCCAACTCCGGGGTACCTTCACGCCAGGGGTATCCCCACCTCAGGGGTACCTCCACCTCAGGGTGCTCCACCTCAAGGGTGCCCCCAACTCCGGGGTACCTTCACGCCAGGGGTATCCCCACCTCAGGGGTACCTCCACCTCAGGGTGCTCCACCTCAAGGGTGCCCCCAACTCCGGGGTACCTTCACGCCAGGGGTATCCCCACCTCAGGGGTACCTCCACCTCAGGGTGCTCCACCTCAAGGGTGCCCCCAACTCCGGGGTACCTTCACGCCAGGGGTATCCCCACCTCAGGGGTACCTCCACCTCAGGGTGCTCCACCTCAAGGGTGCCCCCAACTCCGGGGTACCTTCACGCCAGGGGTATCCCCACCTCAGGGGTACCTCCACCTCAGGGTGCTCCACCTCAAGGGTGCCCCCAACTCCGGGGTACCTTCACGCCAGGGGTATCCCCACCTCAGGGGTACCTCCACCTCAGGGTGCTCCACCTCAAGGGTGCCCCCAACTCCGGGGTACCTTCACGCCAGGGGTATCCCCACCTCAGGGGTACCTCCACCTCAGGGTGCTCCACCTCAAGGGTGCCCCCAACTCCGGGGTACCTTCACGCCAGGGGTAGGCGGGGGGGGGGGGGGGGGGGAGCGCCTCCCCCCTGCACCCCCTGCCACCCCGAAAAATCTGTAATTAGGCCGAACTGCTTTAATACCTGGCGCGGTCGTTAATTAATTACTCCCAGAGCAGCAGCTGAGCTGGGGGTGCCCGGCTCTCCCGGCGCGCTGCCACGCGTCTGCAGGTGTGTGCAAGCATGTGTGAGCGTGGGGGGGTGTCTGCAAGAGTGTGCAAGCACACGTGCATGCACGTTCAAGTTTGTGCAAGCATGTGTGCAAGTGTGTGCACGTGTGTGCAAGCACATACATGTGCACGCATGTGCTGCAAATGTGCGCACGTAGTTGAAAGTGTGTGCACATGTGTGCAAGTACATGCAAGTGTGTGCACAAGCACATGCAGATGCATGCCTGTGTTGCAAGCCTGTGCAATGGCATGCAAGCGCGTGTGTGTGCGTGCATGCATTTGCATGTGTGTGCAAGTGCACGCATGTGTGCAAGCATGCGCATGGGTGCACGTGTTTGCAAGGACCCATATGCATGCGTGTGCAAGCATGTGCAAGGGTGCACGTGTTTGCAAGGACCTATATGCATGCGTGTGCAAGCATGTGCAAGGGTGCACGTGTTTGCAAGGACCCATATGCATGCATGTGCAAGCATGCGCATGGGTGCACGTGTTTGCAAGGACCCATATGCATGCGTGCGCAAGCATGTGCAAGGGTGCACGTGTTTGCAAGGACCCATATGCATGCGTGTGCAAGCATGTGCAAGGGTGCACGTGTTTGCAAGCGCCCATATGCACGCAAGCATGTGCACACAGCTGCAAGTATGTGCATGTGCACGCAAGGACGTGCAAACATATGGAAGTGTGTCCCAGTAAAACCCAAACGGATGGGGACGTTGCCCAGGGTGGGCACCCATGGGTGGGTTTCGGAGGCGCGGAGCGTAATCCTGCCGAAATCTGGGGGCTCGGCGGCTGTTCTTCGCCGCCGCCTGGGTTTATTTTTAAACCCGTTGGCCCCGAGTGATTCACACGCTGCCTGTTCTCCTCTGCTCCCCGGCAAGTTTTACGCGACCAAAATAGATGTTCTGGAAGGAACGGGCCGCGCGGCGAGGCCGCGGCAGAGGAAAGCGGGGTGCTCCCTTCCCGCCGGTGGGGATCCCGGCCTTTGCAAGGGTGAAAACGTTGCCAAGCCGCCCCCGAGGTGGTGTTTTTGGGGAGATGCTGGTGCAGGCCCCCCCGGGAAGCGGGACCGTGGGGTGATGTTTAACCCAGATCATAAATACCAGGCTTTAGCGGAAGTCGCTGGG